TTTTGTTTAATTTTTATACATTGTCTATGTTAAATAATGTGTGAAAAATGGACATCTTTCTTTATTCATGTTTCAAGTATTTAATACCCAACAAAAGAAAATCTTTTTTAATGCAGCACTGTTAAAAAATTTACCCTATTACATATTACACCTCTGCTGCCCTCCATCTCCCTTTTGTTGTTAAGTTACCATAGGGGGACCAGACCTCCTCTTTTTCCTGGACATGTCCTACTTTTCATACCTGAAAAAATGTTTGGGGGGAATTTAGAAATCGTCCTGGATTTTGGTCGACTACAGTGCAGCAGAACCGAGCCGTCAAGTCCGCGGTGAAGTTGGTTTGGAGTTGGATTTTCAAGCTCCGTGGGGTCAGCGGGATCTAGCAAACGGTTTATCCGACTGAGGGACTCTCAGCTGCTCCCTCCTCCCACACACTGTGCTGCAGTTAGGGACCGTCAACAAATCTTTGAACCAAGCACTCTTTAGAAACAAAAATCAATAAATTCCTTATCTTATGACCACCTAAGAAGAAACTAATATAAAATCATGCCAATAAAGCACACTTGCTTTTATGCAATGTTGCACGTTGGGACTTTTCTTTAATAGCTTCCACGTCATGTGACCTACTGACTCAAATTCTTAGTGAAATTGTTTTACTACATGATCCTGATGAGGCACAGTCATTTTTATTCTCTTTTAAGCCTTTGTATATTTTAAAACATTTTTATATTACAAATATAATTGATATTTCTTCAATAGCTTCCAGGTCATGTGACCTACTGACTTCTAATCTATGTCAAATTGTTCTACTGCTTTAGCCAGATGGGCCACGCTCATTTTTATTCCATTTCAATATATTTTTGCCTTACTTTTCTCCCCACCGAGATGCATCAGGTTTTACTAGCGGATCTTCATCTCTGACCTCCAGTTCTCTTCTGGTTTTCTCATCGTTCTTTAACCCCTCCATCAATCAATCTCTATCTGTCACATTTTAACCTCCTCCTCCGCTAACTAACGCGCAACAGCAAGCAAATTAAAAAATAATGATTCCTTTTTGAAGGCAGACACTCCATAGAAACTCATCCCTGCTCTCCTGCAGCCGAATTAGGAATCCGCCAACCTCTCGTCTCGCTTTTGTTCAAAGTCTCCTCTCTCTCGCCATCGACCACACTCCGTCTCACTCCCTCTCACTCCTTCTCTGTCTTGCCTCCACAGCCACAACACTAAGACAACATCGTGGCTGGACCCGAGGCTCGCCAAGAAGGCAAAGCCGCCCGAGGAATGCAAAGAGGATGGTGAGTGCTGCGTGTCCACGACTTGTTCTTTTTCACACTTTGATGCATTCATTGACGCTGGCTGCCCGCTGCATTCATTTTACCAAAATTCAGCTGTTGGTGTACTTCAAAACAGAGTCAGTACTGTTCAATCTATACATTATAAATCCTTTAGCTTGTTTCTTTGCTGGATTATTGCTTTTTTTAAAGCACTAAATGTACTGATAATGTCCATGTGTAGCGATTGTGGTTTCTGTCAATTGGAAACTGCTTCCAGAGAGACTGCAGGTCACAAAGACTTCTTTATCCTCATCTGAGGGAGATCTGAAATGTCCTTTAAACGCCCACGCTCTTCAAAAGGGGGGGGGGGGTGAACATCGTTGCAGCAACAATTGCAGAAAAATAAATAAATGCACAAGCTTCCTCGTCTTTAAGGAATTTTTCCATTAACTCGTGAGCAGAAAAGATTTCACAGTTGAATAGAAAGAGTGGAGGAGGAGATGGAGACGGCCAAGAGGAAACTGTTGCTTTAGTGCCTAATTAAGAAGAATTGAATCCATCATTATGGTGTCTCATAAAGTCTAACAAAATAAGCCAGTGGGCAGCATGTTTTACTACAGCAGACAGTATTTAAAAAGACAGAGAACTTTATAGTGCTATAGTTTGAGCTGAACACATAAAATGGTTAAGCTGCTGATTTCTTTTCATCCTTACCAAAAATATATGATCGTGTATTAATCTCGTTTAGCTGGTAAACCTCCAAAATCTTCCTCATACATAAAAAGAGGGAAAAGATGATGAAATGAAACGTGATTGATCCCTTTATCTCTACCACTTCCACCCATGTTCCTCTCTGGAGAACCTCCCAATCCCGAAGATATGGCTGATGTTTCGCGTCGATCGTAGCAAGTGTTTCATCAAGTCTGATTTTCCCATGTGAAAAAATGTAAAGCTGATTGTAGAGCGTTTGAGCAAGAAACTCTGCCTCAGGCTTTTATTTTTACAACCCCATTAATTCACCATGCAGATCGAAGTCCTTCACTGACAAATAAACCCAAAACATATCAAATCTTTTCTGCATTCAATGCATGATATAAAAAGAAACAGTTAATTGCTTTAATCTTAATCCGTTCCTTTAATTAGTCACCTCTGATCTCGTAAACAGTTCATTAGTCAGGATTTCTGATCAGCTGCAGTCATATTTTCAGTCCTGATTAAAAGCAGCAGCGGTTTTACTATATTCACATTTTCAGGGAGTTTGTTCTAAAGCTGAGAACCTCAGCTTTAGTTTTTTTCCTGTTATTTAGTTCAGTTCCTGGGAACACTGAGTAAATTACCTGCTAATGTTTGAGCCAGAGACCAGGAATCAGCAGTTTACCGACCAATAACAGAGTCTTCCATCCTGTAGTATTTATCCCCTGCAGGGATTAGGAATCGGTGAGTTATGACCCATTCTTTTAGTGTGGTTTGGGATTCTGGTGGCAGCTTTATGGATGAGCCACAGCTGTCTGATGGAATAATCAGCTGGAGACGCCATCACACCAATCAAACTACCAAAATAAAGCAGGGGGTAAAGCATTCCGACTCGTAGCGATTGTCTGTGGGTAAAAAAAATCAGTCGAAACTAAAATGACAATAAATAAATAAGAAAAGGACGATCAAATTCCCCCTTGCGTTTGTCAGCCAATCATCAACTCCTGCATGCTGTGCTCCAGGAAGCTTACTTACGCATCCAGCAGCAAAAAGGTGCTACGCAAACATGAATCAGACCTTAGTCATCAAGCTGCTGTTGGTCCGGTCGCGCAAACTACATGTTTTCCGGGAGCTACGACAACAGCTGATGTACCAGTTAGAGATGTCCC